GCGCCACCGCTGAACTGCAGCAGCATCATCCGCAGCAGCCTACAACCAGCAGCAGCAGCAGCAGCAGCAGCAGCAGCACAAGCAGCGCATTCGCAGTCCACTCGCCCCAACCCCGCCGCCCGCGTAGCAGCAACAGGAGTCTCAGCCAGCGACGCCACCCCAGCAGAACCTCGAACAGCAACGCCGCATAACCCGCACCCGCACCAGCAGCAGCAGCAGCAGCAGCAGCAGCAGACCTGACGTTGCTGACTTCGAAAGAACCCCACAGCGTGGGAACGCCCTGGGCACAGAAGTCCAGAGAGAGCTGCGAAAGTGCTGTTGTCTTTCCAGCCCCTGTGCCCCCCGTCCAAATGCTGAGTTCGCCGCGGCGAAAGCCCCCTGCAGCAGCGCAGCAGCCACAGCCAGTTCTGCTGCTGCTGCTGCTGCTGCTGCTGCTGGGGCTGCTGCGGCTGCAGGGGAGGGGGAGGCACTCACCGAGTATGGCAGTGAATGCCGGGAGCGTCACGCTCTGAAGGCCTCGCGTTGCTGCTGCAGCAGCAGACGCAGACGCAGCAAAAGAGAGGTCAGCAGCAGCAGCACAATGGGCGGGCTAACGGCTGCAAGCAGCGGCAGCAACAACGGGGGAGCGCAGCAAGCAGCAGCAGCACCAACAGCAACAACAACTGGGAGAGTGCAGTAAAAGGCAGACAGCAGTATTGACGCGAAATGCACAGCAAACAGCAGCACCAGCGGAATGAACGCCGCAAACAGCAGCAACAGCAGCAACAGCAACAGCAGCAGCAGCAACAGCAACAGCAGCGTGCCTGGCTCCACAAGCTCGTGCAAGACTCTTGCCCGCAGGTCTTGGAAGCTAAGAATTTGCTGGTGAGGAACTCTGCGTGCTGCCAGCAGCATTGTGTTCAAGTCGAAGCCCGCGAGGAGGCATTCATTGGCGTCCTTGGGAATTCTGGGCTCCTCATCCTGCTGCTGCTGCTGCTGCTGCTGCTGCTGTTGCCGCTGCTGCTGCCGCTGCTGCTGCATGTGCTGCAGCAGCTCGTCGGTGCATCGCACGACATGGCAGCGGCTGATGCCCAGCTTTGAAGCCCAGAGGTCTGAGCCTTCCCGGCCCGCCGTGTCTTCGTCGAACCACTGCAGCAGCAGCAGCAGCAGCAGCAGCAACAGCAGCAGAGGCAGCAGCAGCAGCAGCGCATGCCCAAGCAGGTGAGCCTCCCTGCACTTTGTTGCAGCTCTCGCTGTTGCCGCACCCCTAGAGCTAGGCACATCGCCCGAAGCCCATCCTCGCACCGCAGCAGCAGCAGCAGCAGCAGCAGCAGCAGCAACTCACCAAGTAGATGGTCTTGAAGCGCTCGAAGAAAGGCAGCAACTGCGGCGGGAGACTGTTGGCCCCCAAAGGAACAGAGACAGTTGGCATTTGAGTTTCTTGCCAAATGGCCATCGCGTCAAACTCGCCTTCAGCAACGCATATTATGTCCCCTGGCCCCCCACTACCTGCTGCTGCTGCTGCTGCTGCTGCTGCTGCTGGGGCTGCTGCTGGGGCTGCTGCTGCTGGGGGGTCTTGCTGCGGGACAGCAGCAGGGCCTGACTCGGCTGCGCAGCCCTTGTCCTTCGCTTCAGTGTCGCAATCGCTTCTGCTCTTGCTGCTGCCGCTGCTGCCGCTGCTGCTGCTGCTGCTGTTCCACAGCCTCCGCAGCACCACGTCTGCGCCAAAGAGGCCCCAACGGGCTTCTGTTCTAAAGGGCTCAAGGCGCATGCAGCTCTTGTCATGAATGCTGCGGACTTTGACTCTCACAGGAGTTGAACGTGCTGCTGCTGCTGCTGCTGCTGGTGCTGCTGCTGGGTCGTTTGCTGCTACAGCTGCGAAATGGTGTACTGCAGTCCACGGAAAGGTCACGCAGCAGTGTGGCTCTCGCCTGCAGCAGCAAGAAAGCAAACAAGACGCCTTTCCACTGCAGCTACTGCACTTGCTGCAGCTGCTGCAGCAGCAGCAGCAATTCCCGCAGCAGCGGCACGGAAGCACCAGCAGCCTCGAAAACAACAGCGCTCGCAGAAGCAGCAGCAACAGTAGAGCAGCGCGAAATGAGAACAGCAACACCAGCAGTGCAAACCAGCAGCAGCAGCAGCTGCTCCTGCTGCAGCAGCAGCTGCAGCAGCAGCTGCAGCAGCTGCAGCAGCAGCCACAGTACGCTCACGGGCCCTCGCCGCTGGCGGGAGGAAAGTAGAAGACACCCGAGCCAACGCCGAACTCCAGCAGCTGCAGATGCAGAGGCAGCAGCACCTCTCAACAAAGCAGCAGCAGCTGCATTTGCTGCTGCTAAACTCTAAAACCTAAACCCTAAACCCTAAACCCTTCACAGCTGCCACAGCAGTTCCCTCACCAGCAACAGCAGCAGCTCCACAAGCGATAGCAGTAGCAGCAGCTCAAATAGGAGTAGGCAGCAACGTTGCCAGCAGCAGCAGCAACAGCAGCAGCAGCAGCAGCAGCAGCC